AGAGATGCGCTGCCGCTGCACCGCGATTTGCCCTGCGACCGCCCATCGAAGAAGACGTCGACGACGACGCGGCCAAGGGGGCAGTCGAGGCGACGCAGCCGTCCAGTTCCAAGCCGGCACTCCCCAGGCCGAAGTACGTCGGGGCCGCTGGTGTCGACATCTTGGTTCCCGATGATCACGGCAACATGTCCGCCTTGGCCCGCCGCCGGAGCAGGAGGGCGGCATCCTCGCGCGCGGTCGCTACGCCAGGGGGAAGGCTCGACCCGAGGGGCATGGATTATGCCCACGCGGGGAACCTGGGACGCTCGACTACGCCGCCAGGTATGCAGCCAGAGGGGGCTTGAAGAAGACGTTGGACTGGGCGCCCCTCCGGGCGATTTGACAGAGATCCCGACCTGACAAGATTGCGAGCGCAGCAGTCCGGCCTGATTACGGGCCCCTGTTAGCCTCGTGTTAAGCCGTGCTCGTCGCTTGCTCGCCAATGCAAAAGGCATCTCTTACCTCGCAATCCGTCTTCATAGCCCCGCGGGCCCCCGCGAGACGGCGGGCCTGCGGGGGGCGACGCCGCCGCCGCGCCCCCAGCGAGGAGGTCCACGGTGCCCTTCCGAAGCGAGGACAGGAGATGCCTCGGGCGCGGAGGGGGGGGGGGGCACGCCACCACGGAGGCGTCCCCGCAGGCTCCTCCTGCTGAGTTTCCTTGGTAGCGGTGGCGGCGCCGTTTTTCCCTTGTTCCGACAAGAAGGCGATGTGTTCCAGGGGCCCATATTTTGTTGATAGGTTTAGCTTTTGCGTTTCGCTCCAGGGACAGATGGTCAGAGATCCATATGGTGTGCGTTCCGTCTGCACTGTGGCTCAAGGGAAAACATTATGTATCTTCTCCCGCTGCCGCAGTTGGTAGCGAAGCGGGGTCGGGCCTGGGGCCACGGGCGCGAGAAAGCGGCTGTGACGGCCGAGCGGCTCACCGCTTGAGCGCCTCGCGGTCAGGCTCCGCTCAGACCGCTGAGCGGCGCGGGGCCCGCGGCATATGACCTCGGACGGCGAAGGGCAGCTGCAAGACGAGCAGTTCGCCGGCATGGCGACACGAACGCCCAATGCCGCTTTAGCCAGCGGCGGTTCTCCAGCAGCAGCAGCAGGAGCGCCTGGGCCAGCAGCGGGCATCGACGCGGAACTGCTGACTCCGACGGCGCAGAGCATCGCGCAGGAGATTCTGAGGAGTCTCGGCCATTTTGGCCAGCCACAGCAGCGGCAGCAGCAGCAGCAGCCACCGCAGTCATCACCGGTGGCTGCCGAGGGTCCATGGGGGAGCCGGGGGGCCGACCCATGGAGCAGCGGGCGCGGACTGTCAGCCGACCATCAGAGAGAGGAAGCAGCAGGAGGCGAAGGTTGGTGGCAGTCGGCCGACAGACAGGACAAAGAGCTTCAGAGCGACCCGGAACAGGACCAGGGCTGGAGCGGCTGGTGGCAGAGCTCCTGGGCAGGTGGTCGCGGAGATTTCTCCGACCCCCCCGCCTGGCCCGGATGGGCTCGCTACCGCCAGTGGCGGCGCGCCATGCGAAGACGGAGCGACAGCGGGGACGCGGCGGCGTGGCGCCGCTCAGAGAAGTTCCTGAGGCTATTCGAGTGGACAACGCAGGCCAAGTTTGAGGACATTCCGGACAGCCAGCTCACGTCAGCAGGCTGGCTCGAGTCCCTCCTCGCTAGGGTGGGCCCGATGATCGGAGAGCGCGACGGCGACGAGCTGCGTCGAGCTTGACGCAAGGCACTGTATCAAGCCGTCCGCGACTCCAAGGAGTCGCTGATGCAATGCGTGAGCCGGCGCGCAGCAGAGTTCATCGAGGCCGAGGGCCGTGATCTCTGGATGTCGGACAAGCTGAAGTGCTTATTCTTCGAGGAGGGTGCCCGACAGACAGCTCGGGGCGCTCAGAATCTACGAGCGTTGACTTGTGGCGATCTCTCCTACGACAGCGTCAAGTGGGCATTACGTCAGCTCGATTCCTCCACCGGGACCGTGCGGCCGTTGCCTGGCAAGGCCGGGCCTGGCGCGCTGATGGCGACATCTGCGTCTTCTGAGGACGCTGGTCCGGGCAAGCGTTCTGACGCCAGCTGTGTTGTTCAGCTCTCCTCCTCCTCCCCCCACCAACCTCGGTCGGTCGGAGGAAGGCAACTCAATCGATGGCGATGGGGAAGACTACTACGACGAGGGCGACGAGGACAGTGAGGAGCTGGACGAGCAGGATGTCGAGGTCATCCTGGCCGAGCTCGACGACGTGGACGCGAGCGAAGATGAGGTCGAACTGGTCATGGCAGGGCTCACCAACAACCGCTCCTGGAAGCAGAGCAAGGAACTCAAGAGAGCTGCCCGGCGCGACCGGGAGTACTTCGGCTCCAAGAGTCAAGGCAGTGCTGCCCCCCTCCAGGTTCGTCCGGACGGGCGCGAGGGAGGCCGACCGCGACGAGACCGCCATGAACGAGGAGGCGGCGCAGGACAGCGAGCACCTCCAGGGAGACGGCGATTCTTGTCCCAGGAGCAGGTCATGAAGGTGACCAAGTGCAAGCTCTGCCACGAGAAGGGCCACTGGGGGCGGGGGCGCCTCAATGTCGGCAGCGCCCAAAAGGAGAATATCAAGAAGGAGCTGGGCGTCAAAAAGGCTCCACCTCGTCGGGGGGCCTCGGCCTACATGTTCGACGGCATGGCCTCCAGCAGCAGCGGAGGAGGCACTCTCTGGTTGGGTGTAGCATGGCAGGAAGCGGAGGAGAATATCATTACGAACTCGGTCTACTTCGCGGCCTCCGCCACCCAGGGCCCCGTGGGCCCAGGAGCCGGCGCCGACCTGATCGGCCTCGAGACGCTCAATCGGGAGTCGGAGGCCCTGGCGACGCACGGGTTGCCCCACGTGGAAATCCTTTCCGAGCACCAGGTGCACGCTCGGCGGGCCCACGGTGTGGGCGGGCCCGCCACAGTGATCAGTGCCGTCTTTTATCCTTTGTGCTTGGGTGGAGTGCTCGGCACCGTAGATACCACAGTTCTGGGAGAGACGGGTCCTCACATTGTGAGCGTTAATTGTTTTGACTTTCCTGAGAATTTGGTAGACCTGCCCAGCGACAAGCCAAGGTCAGGCACCCTGCAAGCGTCAATTGATGTGACACGTTTGGCCTCCGGGCATCGCATGGTCGAGGTGGTTCGGTCCTTGGACCAGCAGGCCAAGGTGCCGGCGGCGGCGCTCAGACGCTATAGATCCTTTTCACACAGAACAATCATTCATGTTTGGTAATGGCAAGCTTCCGAAGATGCTGGCCGACGGCGCGCTGGCGATGTGCATGTCTCTTCTCTTTCCCCGGGTTTCCAGAGGCAGTCCGGGGCTTCGGTCAAGTCGTCCGGGGACCAGGTCAAGGAGGGGTACGAGTAGGACTAGAATTGAGAGGAGTCGTGGACGGTTGGGAGTTTCTACGGCATAATTGATAGCGCTCCTCATCATAGCCCTCCTCGTTATCTCTCGGGCCCGGGGCTCAGCGAGTCCGCCGAGAGAAGGTATCGGCCTCGGGATCCTTCCATCAAGCTCAGGTCCTCAGCGACAGTTATCAACCCAGGAGGAGCCATCGAATCCATGCCAATCCGACGCCTCGAGATACTGGCAGGTCTGATCTCCGTAACCACTTTGGGCTCAAGCTTTCTTCTTCAGACTTCGAGCTCTTCTCGTACTGGCAGTCGACCAAGAGCCCCTGTCGGCTTCGTCCAGTGGTGCGACCACAATGTACCGGATCCTCTGGACGGCGATGGCCCCGATCTCCCAGGCGAGGGCCAGTCCGAGTTTCCTCGGACAGATCCAGGAGCAACAGCGCGGAGAAGCTGCAACACCAGACAGGGCAGACACGACAGTCGACCAGGGCTTGACGACGGACACGACCACAGCCAGCACGTCTCAGCAGCCTCAACCCGGAATGCCGAGCCAGGTGTCTCCTCAGCTCATGTCGTCGGCTCAGGCTCAGACGGCAGCGGGACCCGACGGTGTGCCCCCTACGGCGGTGATCGGACATTTATTGGACGGCGCGCTTCTACTGTTGAGCACGACGAAACCGATTCTGGCGTTTTCATTTTCATTCCTCTCGGTCCCGGTCGCTCGTCGCTCGGTGGCGAGCCGAAAGACCGGGAGAGGACGAGGAGGAGGACCAGTTATCCCCCTGCACTCCTTGCTCGTCCTCGTCCTCGTCGTCCTCCTTCTCTTCCTCATCCAGTTTCCTCTTCCTCTTCCCCCCTCAAGAAATCGGCCGCAAGACCTTCCTGGGGGTGCGTTTAGACGTTCAGACCAGGATCTCAGAGATGGTGTCAGGCCTTGGCGACGAGGGGCATCCCGGATTATTTGTTATAAATCATGTTTATATAAAAAAGGTGGTGATCCAACAATCTGGACTTTCGCCCCGCGAGCCTGGATGGTCCCATCTTAAGATCCGACGTCGCGAAGTATTTGGAACATCGCGGGAAAACGCGACTGGTGCCCTCGACTCCCTGTTTCTGCTGCCGCTTGCCCAGCTGCTTCCCACTCGGCGGCCCTCTATCGTTTAGGCTCGGTCGGTCGCTGCGCCGCCGCCGTGGCGCTGTGTGTCGGTTTCGGGTTTCGGGATGGGTTCCGCTACCGGTCCGCCGAGTATTCGACGTTCGAGCTGCCGCGGACGTGTAATTATGCTCCCTCGCCTTTCTCCCCCGCTTTGGCAGGGCCCCCATACCTTCCGATGCGATTCGATTTTCTGGCTGGAACCGCGATTCCGGTGCGATCCGAAGCGCTTCGACTCACCGGCATTGGCTGGGGCCAGCTAGGCGGGGCGGTGCGATCCGATCTCGATTCGATTCGGGGCGATGTCTTTGCGATCCGATCCGATCCGATCCCGCAGTTCAATCCAGCTCAGGTTCGCCTGGGCCGGGCAGACGAGAGACCCCCGCTGCACTGGCCGGGCCGCGCAGCGGGCAACCGAGAGACCCCCGCTGCCTTGGCTGGGCCGCGCAGGCAGCCTCCGCGTCCTTGGCGCCTCAGCTGCAGGCCCTCCAGGAGGACATCGCGAACCTCAAAGAGGCGCGCTTTCCCGCGACGGCTTATCCCCGTCCGATGTTGTCCCTGCTTTCGTTTCGTATTTGGGGGGGTTGGTGAAGGGGGGGGCCAAAGCCGATCGAGGGGTGTAGGGCACGTTCCTCGATGCACCAGCGCCGGGAAGGTATTCGGAATAAGTTCGTGAGACGAATCGCTAAGCTCCAGAGGCGAAATCGTGGGCGAACAGCCCACGGGCGTGCATCACACGTATTGGCCTGAGAACTTCGCCGAAAGCATGGAGCATCGGCGTCTTCGGGTACATGTATTGCTTTCCCCCGGGTTATTCGCGCCCATCGTCGCCCTCGAGAGCGCCCTTTTGCTACCAGGAAGCTGGATACACATCATGTGGCTGGCCTGCGCGAGTGCTTGATACACACGTGGCCACATGTCTTTGCATCCCTTGGCCCTCGTTTGGCCAGGTTCGCTGGTCTTCTACAGGTATATCCAGCAAGTGGCTTCCGGATGTTCCGCATGTGAATCCTGTGCGTACAGTATGGCATTTTGGGGGACGGCGGTAGTGAGGACAGTGGTGTGGGGACATTGGGACAGTGGTGAGGACAGTGGGGACAGTGGGACAGTGGTGGGGACGGTGGTGGTGGGGACAGTGGTGAGGGCGGTGGTGAGGACGGTGGTGGGACAATGGGACAGGGGTACAGTGGGGACAGTGGTGGGTGGGAACAGCGGGACAGCTCAATGGGACAGCGGCGGGGACAGTGGGACAGTGGTGGGTACCGTGGGGAAAGTGGGGAGTGGGACCGTGGTGGGGACAGTGGGGACAGTGCGTCAGTGGTGGGGTCACTCGTGGGGACAGTAGGGACGGTAGTGGGAAAAATGGGGACAGTGGTGGTGTGGACGGTGGTGCCGGGGACAACGGTGGGGGATGTGGTGCGGACGGGTGTGGGGATCTGGGAGTCGTTTGCTGTCGGTGATGGGGGGGGTCGAACTGGTAGTGACCCTCCCTGGTTTTCCGGAGGGGGCGGGGTTCGAACCGGGTGACTCCCCCCAGTTTTCCGCAGGGGGGGGTAGGGGTTAGGGGGGGGGTTCGCTGGGGGAAGGGGGGGGGGTCCAGGGGGGGGGATGTTCGAAGAGGGGGGGGACCCCCGGGTTCAGGAGGAAGAGGGGGTGGAATTGTCCATTGTAAAGTGGCAGTGGATCACGCTCTCTCTGATGATGATGATGATGATGATGATGATGATGATGATGATGATGATGATGGTGGTGGTGGTGGTGGTGGTGGTGGTGCTGATGGTGATGGTGATGGTGATGGTGATGGTGATGGTGATGGAGATCGTGATGGTGATGATGATGATAATGATTAGAAGGAGGATGAGGATGAGGATGATGATTGTGATGGTGATGGTGATTACAAGGAGGATGTTGATGCTGATGTTGATGATGTTGATGATGACGATTACGATGACGATGACGATGATGATGGTAATGCTGATAATGATGACGATACTGATGATCATGATGATGATGGTGACGTTTATGATGGTTGCGATTATGCTGATGGTGGCGAAGATTATGCTGATGATGATGATGATGATGGTGAAGATGAATATAATAATGATGATGATGATGATGATAATGATGGTGACAATGATACTTGTAGTGAGGATGGTGATGGTGACGGTGATGGTGATGGTGATGGTGATGGTGATGGTGGTGATGATGATGGCAATGATGATGATGATGCTGATGCCGATGCCGATGCTGATGATGATGATGATGATGATGATGCTGATTATGATGATGATGATGATGATGATGATGATGATGATGATGATGATGATGATGATGATGATGATGATGATGATGATGATGGTGATGGTGATGATGATGATGATGATGTTGATGTTGATGTTGTTGTTGATGATGATGATGGTGGTGGTAGTGGTGATGGTGGCGACGAGGGGGGGCAGGAGGCGGAGGAGGAGGAAGGGGCAGCAGCAGGATGAGGAGGAGGAGGAGGAAGAGGAAGGCCGTCAAATGTGACACTGTTCGTTTCCTTTTGTTTCGAGCTCTCTTGGATCGTGTTTGGGCTGTTCTTAGAGCAGTCTCGACTTCCTCTGCGGCAGTCTTGGCGGTCCCTTGAGGCTCTCTTGGGCCGTCTTGGGGCCCTCTTACGCTGTCTCGGAGTTCTCCTTGGCCGTGGTGGGGCCCCCTTAGCCGTATGGTGGGTGCCTGGGGGCCGTCTTGGGCCGTCGAAGTGTTGTAAGGCTATCTTCGGTCCCACAGGAGGCCCTCTTGTGCAGTTTTGGGGCCGCCTTGCACGTCTCTTGGGACCCTCTTGGGCCGTCTTGGGGCCATCGTGGAGGCTTCTGGAGCTGACGGGAATCCGAAAGGTGAGGATGCGAACATCATTCAAACACCCACGGGCAATCAATGATCGGTTGGTTTCTTCGGATCTTGCTGGATCTTGTAGGCCCTTTGGGCGCTCTTGGAGGCATCTTGTGCCGTCTTGAGGCCAGATTCGGCCGTCTTGGGGCCATATTGGCCCTTCTTCGAGGCATCTTGAATCATCCTGGTGCCCTTGGCTGCGTGGGCCGTCCTGACGCTCGAGACGCGGAGCAGTCGGTTTTTAATGAGGTGTCGTGGCTTCGGGAGCGCGGATCCGAATGTTCTTAGTACGGGATCATGACCTCGGGAGGAGGGGGCGGTACATGCACCAGTCTGCTAGCAGGGGGGGGGGCTTCATTTGAGTACAGAGACCCTGCCAGACAGCACTAGGCTTTCTACCACGCCTCAACGTGCCCCTGGGCACGATGGCGGACCCATCAGCTCGTGAACTGCTCCAGAAGGTCGGACGACAGGTAGGGATTTGGTGGAGGGAAGTACCAGCTGATTACGTGAGCTGATTCGCTAACCCCCCGTTTGTTATCCCCCCATGCCGCCCGCCCAGGCCATGGCGGACGCTGCTCCTTCGGACACCCCCCGCGTCGTGAAAAACATGACGGGCGTGTCTGTTGAAAGTTTCCGCCTGTGGGACCGCGCCGGCCTTTTGGGGCCGTGAAAAGACTGGATCCGCGTTGTGAAAGATCACGACGTCGGCGGTCTGTTCGCCGATGTTTGATTGGTGTGTATGTCTTTTCGCATGTTTGGGGCCTCCTGGGGACTTCATGTTGCCCCGACATGGACTTCGTCGAAATATGTGTCAAAGCGCACTCAAAGAGAGGTTCGGGGGTCGATCCAGCATTGTCGCCACAGTGAGCTGTATCCTGAAAGGAAGAAGTCAAGGAGGCGTGTCGCTGTTCTCTGGTTTCTTTTGTTGTTGTTCTCTTTCGGGGGGGAATGGAGGCGGGGCCTTACTCAGAATAGGACCCGGGCAAACATTGTGAGCATGGTCTTCGGGAAAGCTGTTGGGGCCCAGATCCATGCCTCCCTCCTCCTATTTTTCCTCCGATGGCCAATCGGCACAACATGTTCTTGTTTGTGAATTGATTTGGGGCTTCAGCGCGGGATTCAACATGCAAATATTGACAGATAAGCACAATACCTTCGGAGTGAAACATTGAAAACATGAATATCGGAAATCTTGATCTCAGGGATGCACATTGCAAAGTGGAAAAGTATAAAACATGGGGTCGCGGATTGAACACTTGAAGAAGAGTTGTGTTTTGTTTACCATTATTTTATTTTCAATCCGGGGGGGATTTGGATTGACAAGTTTAACCAGCCGATGTTCAATCCCGGCGCACTCGAATTTCCATGTCCTATTGCGGGACGGATCGGGGGACGGGGCGAGTCGGGTGGGCGGGACATTAGAGAGAACGGCTTTTTCGAGGCAGGGTCAACGAGGCGGGGTGGGGATCGGGCGGGCGGAACACTGCAGTGCCTTATCATCTTTGTCGCGCGCGTGTGGTCCGGCGAAGCAGAGCTGACGGGCGGCGCGGGTCGGGCGGGCGGAACACTTTACAGCGTCGCGTCGGGGCTCTCTCTCGAGTGCGGTCGGGCGTCGCGCGGCGAACCCGGGCAGGGCGGGGCGGTCCGGCAGGACAGCAGAGTGCAGGGCTCTCTCTCTCGCGCGTGGTCGGGCGGACGGCGCGGGGCTCTCGCGGGCGGGGCGGGGCGGGCCGAGGAGGCGGGGCGTTACCGTACGAGGCTCTCTCTCTCCTTCCCTCTCTGTCTCTCTCTATCTCTCTACACCTTGGGCGATGCTTAAGAAAACTTAAGTTTTCGGCGAGAGTCTCGATTATTCTTACTCTTTCAATTTAATTCCTAAGATGTTGATAGAAACGTTGGGTTTTTATTCCAGATCTGAGACGATGAATTTCTTAACCCATGATTTCTAAAGCATTTCGCAGGGTGTATCTCTCTCTCTCTCTCGAGTGTGGTCAGGGGGCGCGGAGCCCACGGGCGCGGCGGCCTGGGGTGGGCGGGGCGGTAAGCACCTCTCTTTTGAGTGCCGTCCAGCGGAGCGGGGCCAACGAGCGATGCGGGTCGGGCGGGCGGGACATCAAAGTGAGGGGCTCGGTGTCGCGCGTGTTCTGGCCGGGTCGGGCGGGCGGGACCGGCGGGGCAGGGCGGGGTAGCGTGGGACTCTGCGACGCGGGGCCCGCGGAATAGGCCGGCCGGGGGGGCAGACCATTAAGAATCTCTCTCGAGAGAGCGGTCGAACGGAGCGGGACCAACGAAGGATGCGGGTCGGCGGGCAGGGCATGAAAGTGATCGTTGGTTCAAGGATGGGGTCCTGAAGCATGAGGTCCTAAGGATTGGAATGGATCCAAGGGTGGATTTACATCGTTTGAGGCACCTCGCCCTTAGGACCCTACCCCTCTTTGAAACACCGAGGTGAGCTGACTCAGTGTCGCGTGTGGTCAGCTGGGCGGGTCGGGCGGGCGGGACCGGCGGGGCAGAGCGGGGTAGTGTGGGACTCTGTGACGCAGGGCCCGCGGGGCACGCGGGCGGGACGTGAAAGCGTCGGGTCTCTATCGAGTGTGGTCGGGCGACGCGGGGCCAACGGGCCAGGGCGGGCTCTCGCGGGCGGGGCATGAAAGTGTCAAGTCTCTATCGCGCGTGGCCTGTCACAGCGGAGCCCATGGGCGCGGCGTGTCGGGCGGGCGGGAAACTGAAGTGCAGGGCTCTCGCTCCCTCCACTGGGGTCGGGCGACGCGGGCCCGCGGGCAGGGCGGGAGGTGCACGTGTGGAGCCTAATCGAGTGCGGCCGACATCGGGTACGGCGAGCGGGCGGGTCGGGTGAGTGGGTGATTGATGGTTAAGAGCCCGAGGGGGAGGGGGCCGGACCGAAGAGCTTGGCGTGTCGGGCGAGCGGAGCGGGGCATTCGAATGATCGGCCTTCTCGCGTTTGGTCGGGTGGAGAAGGAGGAGGAGGAAGAGGAGGAGCAGGACGACGGGTTATCTTCGGGCCATCTTGAAGCCCTCTTTGAATTCTTTTGAGCTGCTCTTGGGTCGTCTTGGGCCCCGAAGACAGCTCCTTGAGAGCCCTCAAATGGCCCCTGCACTCGACATTGTGAATAGCAGTCGAAATGCGGGGTCGACGGGCCGTTTTGGGAATTGATTTGGGCACTCGTTAAGCAATTTTAGGACTTCCCCGGGGCTCTACAACTGCTATGAGGGAGTCAAAAGGGCCCCAATTTAAGAGGGCTTCAAGATGGCCCAAAAGGGGCCCACGCACCTGGCATTTTAAACGGTCGTCGAAATGCCTGGTCGACAGGCCGTCTTGAGGCTATGTTGTGGCCGTCTTGGGGCCGTTTTGAAGACATCTTGGTTTGTCTCTGGGTCCTACACTTGCCAATGGAGGCTCAAGAGGGCCCCAGGAGGGCTCCAGGATGGCTGGAAGAGGGCCCCCGCACTCGGCGCATACTGGGTCGGCGGGCCGTCTTGGGGTCATGTTGGGGTCGTCTTGCGGCCGTGTTTGGGTCATAGTGGGTCTGTCTTCTCTCCCCTCCTCCTCCGCCTCCTCCTCCTATTCCTTTCCTATTGCCTTCTTTAGCAGGCGCACTGGTTGGGATCGCTTGAAGTCGGACTTTTCCCGCCCACATGCCGGGCGGCGAATGGCTAGCGCAGTTGGGTCTACACCTTAGGCGATGCTTAAGAAAACGTGAGTTTTCGGCGAGAGTCTCGATTATTCTTAATGTTTCAATGTAAATCCCAAGATTTTGATCGAAGTTCTGGGTTTTTATTCAAATCCTGAGACTCTGAGTTTCTTAACCCATGATTTCTTAAGCATTTCGCAGGGTGTATCTTAGGGTGTTCTTGCGAGGGTTTCGGAGCACGGCCGCCGGGGGGCTCTGGTGACGGAGTTCCCCGACGGTTTTGACCATCACAGCCCTGACGGGCACCACGGGCTCCGCAGGCCCGAGAGGCCCCACAGGCTCACATGTCCCACAGGCTGCCGAGGTCCAGGGAAAATGGAGGTAGCAGGGAAGAGGAGGAGGAGGAGGAGGAGGAGGAGGAGGCGAAGGAGGGTAAAGTCGAAGACGACGAGGGGGAGGAAGGTCAAGATCTTGGGACTGTCTTGGTGGGCGGGGCTGTCTTTTGGCCCTCCTGGGGCCATCTGGGTACGTCTTGGCACTTTTTGAGGGGTTGGCCTGGGATATCGAATGAGGCGGGCTGACGAATGAGGCGGGTCGGGTGGGCGTAGCATTCAGGCGTAGGGCCCAGCAGGTCAGTCGGGCGAGACAGTAAAGGGCAGGGCCGTGCGCGAGGTTCCTGCGAGGGTTTGGGACTCGGGGTGTTCTCGAAGGTTTTGAGGTCGTGGTTCTCCCGAGGGTTTTGGACGCGCCCTAGGCTCCACTGGCCCGAGAGGCTCCACTGGCCCCAGAGGCTCCACAGGCCCCAGAGGTCGCTCTCGTCCCAGCCCTCAGGAGCCTGTGGTGCCTATCAGGGCTGCGATGGCACAACACCCTCGGGAGAACAGCGTCCCCCAAGCCTTCGGGGAAGTCGTGCCAAAGCCCTCGCAGGAGCACGCCCATCGAGCGCCTCGCTCGGGGCATCCCCACGATCTGGCCGCGAACGGGCAAGCGTATAGCGCCCCCGGGCGGCTCCCCCGTGGGGTACTCGAACGGGCGCCTCGGAACATCCTCGAAGATTGCTTCCACTGCTGACCTCATCTCTGTGCCCACTGTCCTCTACCACCTCATCCCCGCCAGTTTCAATGCCGCACTCGCGGGACTGAATCTGGGGGGTCCAGGATTCGAATTATTTGTTTTCAATCTTTCAATCTTGGACGTCCCACGTTGAAAGTTTCAATCTTCCAAGTTCTCAATGCGGCGAGACCGGGGCTGACATCTGCAATTGTGGATTTTGTGTTCAATGAGGTTTCAATGCTCGACGACCTTCCATGTCTCAATCATTGAGCAGCCCCACGCCCACTAATCTAATTTAGTTTCCGGAGGTCAGCGCGGGTTCCTTGAGTCAGTGTTGGACGCTTTTTCCTTGCCCGCGAAGCGCGCCAGGGGTGGCGCTGGAGGCGCCGCCAGGGGGCTCCGCGTCGGCCCAAAACACCGTCGTGGATCTCAGACTGCTTCTTGTGTGTGTGTGTGTGTGTCGTTTGTTCTTGCTCACCCCCCCGACGCAGACTTCGCAAAAATTGGGTTTGGTGTGGGACATCCCCCAAAAAAACGCCTCCCGCAGGGTGGGCGCGCAGACGTCCCCGACCCCCCTCCCCCCGACACTCCCCCGACACTCCCCCGACACTGCCCCGACACTCCCCCGACACTCCCCCGACCCCCCTCCTCGATCCCGCTGAACGTGTCTTATTTCCGTGGGGGCCGGTGGGGGCCTTCGTAGACTTCCGAAGACGGCCCGCCTCCTCCTCCTCCCTCGCATGCTCTCGGGGAGCGAGGCCTTCCTCCTCCCCACCCCGACCCCTCCCCTCCTCGCTCCCCCTCACTTCTCGCTTCTCCTCCTTCTTTCCCCCTCCTCCTCCTTTCCCCTTCCTCCTTACTGCTCTACCTCGTTCTCTCCTCCGCTTCTTCTCCCTCCTCTTCATCCGTATGCACATCACTCCATCCCTGCTCTCGAAAGGCAGCGCCACCTCGACGCACCTCCAGACGTGTCGGCAGGGCAGGGCAGTCCAGGGAGGAGTAGGGAGGACCCCGATCTCCGACGCCGAGTTCTCTGTGTGCCACAACGTGGACTCCCTGGGACCAGTCATTCACCCCTTTCCCCCTTTCTGCGAGTTATCCACGACGCGAGGAGATCTGGGGAGGAGGAGAAGGAGGAAGGAGGAGCAGGCAGGAGGGAAGAAGCCGATCGCCACCCCCATCTTGCGCCGCCCCCTTGAGGTGCAGCGGCAGAACGCCGAGATGATGGACTTCCTCGCCAAGCACGAGGCCAGCATGGGCACATCCTGTGGGCTTGGGAGCCGTCTTAGGGGCGATCTATGGGGCCGATCGGCCCGTCGTGGGCGCTTGTCCGATCCTCAAGACGAGGATCTTAAAATCATTGACATGCTGTTGCTTCAATGAGATGGGTATCTGCGGGCGGTTCCCAGGACCTCAGAGGCGGCCCAAGAAGGCGCCAGGACGGGTTCTGGAATCATCCTAGCCCATGACGGAGGTGTGGGATCCCAACCACGCCCCCAAGGCCGTCAGCAGCCTCAACCACGCTCCTGGGAGCTCCAACCACGCCCCCAGGAGGAAAAAGAGGAGGAGGAACCCCTGCTTGATCACTGCCCTCGATCCTCGCCCTCGGCGCACAAAATACCTCCGCACAGCAAGGCTCTGCAGGCCGGGGCCATCTCGTCGCTCGTCGGTCGCTCGTCGGCAGTCGTCACCGCGCGCAACGTCGTCCTCGCCGTACACCGGTCGGCATTTACCATATCGAAGAGCAATCAGCATACACCCAACTCCTCGGAGTTCCGCGCGGATTTCTTGGATCCGCGCTGGACCCCCCCTCCCTGGCACGCGGAGCGTGCCAGGGGCGGCGCTGGAGGCGCCGCCACACCACCGAAAGAGCTCCGCTCGGACCTTCGAAATATTATCCGATCCGAGAGATCCGCGCAGACCTCCGAAAGTTCATGAGTGTGGCAGTTGTTCTTCCTGTACTGCAGTCGTCGTCGGATAATCATTTCCAGATGATAGGCACGGCTGATCTCAAGGCCCGCTTCTGGGCGCTCTCGCTTTGACGCTCGCTGCAGCTTCTTTGAAATTGAGGCCTCCCGCTCGAACGCAGGCTTGGGGACCGAAGCGTGCTATTGGAAGCTCATTTGCGACGACAGCTTCTCCCGCTGAAACCTGTATCGCAATTTATTCGATACACCCTGACCAGAGAGGTCCCCAAACTGCGGCGCTCTCGCTTGAGACTTCCTTCTTTTCAGGCCTAACTACGTTGTTAAGGGCTCCGTCCAATATTTTCTCTCAATTTACTTCAAAACGCCCTGGTCATTTGCAGTCTCGCACTCAGGAATGGAACTCTCGCCAGAGACATCCTCACAAGTCATTCAACTGTGTGAAATCCCTCTAAGACGACAATGGCTCTCTCGATACTTCCTCAGAGCTTACTCTGAGATGCCCTGGAGGCCTTCCGAACTCCAGAATCGGTTTTGGGCGCTCCCGCCTCGACGACAGCTGCATGTTCTTTGAAACCGAGGCTCCCTCTCGGGCGCGGGCGTGGGGACGTGGGGACCACTGTGTGTTGTTGGAAGCCCAACTACGACGACAACAGCTCCCGCTGAAAACACTGCATCACACTTTACTCTGAGACGCCTTTGCCTTGGAGGCCCAACTACTCAGGAATGGCGCTCTCGCTCGAGAGTCTCTCGTAACGTAGCCACGATTTTGGAGGCCCAACTACAACGAAAACGGTTTCTGCTCGATCTTGGCTTTCATATTGTTTCCGAGATGCTCTTGTCATCTGCACTATCACATTCAGGAGTGGCACTCTCGCAAGAGACTCATTCATCTGTGTGAGATCCCAGCTAAGATGACAATGGCTCTCTCGATACTTCCTGAGAGCTTACTCTGGGACGCCCTGGAGGCCCCCAAGCTTCGGAATCCGTTCTGGCCGCTCTCCCCGCGACGCAGGCTGCATTTTCATTGAAGCCGAGGCTCCCGCTTGATCGTGGGCTTGGGGACCAATGTCGGTTGGAGGCCTAATCATGACGGCAGCGGCTCCTGCTCCATATTTCTTTGCAATTTGCTCCGAGGCGCCCTGCCCTTGCCGCCCCAGAACTCGGACGCGGCGCTCTCGCTCGAGACCTTTCAATCAGTCATGCTGGCGAGAGACAGCGTGCATTGTTGAATGTTTTTGTCCCAGGAACTGGTACGAGAAGCACTCGACACAGAAGGGTCTTGGTTCACGGACGTAGTGGGCGGCACGGAGGAGAGGGAGAAACGGATGAAGGCCAAGGCGACTTGTCTGATCACATGTTCCCAACATGGTCGCTGTTCGCCCTTCGACGGCTTGGATTTACCGCACCACCCTGGCAGGACACCCGTTCCGGGTGCTGGAGGCCGCTTGCGCGTTCCCGCCCCGCCGACGCGGCAGTTGAGGCCCCTTCCCTTGCTCTGCCTCCGCGGCCGCCTCCTCTTCTGTTCCACCTGTCTGAGTGTGCCCAGCGCCCAGCGCGGCCCGTGGGCTCTGCAGACGCGCTTACGACCGCCAGCGCTGCCGTCAACAACAATATCAAGATGGTCGTTGTCGCTGCCGTCGCTTCAGTATCGTTTACCTGATCCCAGTCCCCACCCGGCCATGGTATCTCAGCCCCACAATCCTACCACCCCAGTTTGGGATGGGCCCCTGGAATCCCGAAGAGGGAACAGTCCACGTCCCACCTCTATCCAGCAGGGTAACTCGGCCAGAGGGGCAGGCCATGCCAGTGGGGATAGGGACCGGTTAAAGGAGAAAGAAAAACTTTGGAGCTCCGCGTGCATTTCTTGGATCTGCGCTGGACCCCTCTCCCTGGCGCACGGAGCGCGCCGGGGACGGCGCCGGAGCGGAGGCGCCGCCAGGGCCCCCACGAAACCCGCGCGGAGGTCCAGATGTTTGATGCCCTTCTCCTTGTCTCCACTCTAGCGATGCGCCTCGTCGTCTGCGGCGCCGCCTCGAGGAGGGCCCCTCCCCGCCCAGAGGCCCGACTCGCCGAGAAGCTGAGGGCCCGCGCGCACCGTCCATCGCCGACCCTATGCTGAGACCCCCTTTGCGGGCCGCGGCTGCGGGAAAGCGGACCTCTCCAGGAGGAGGAGGAGGAGGAGGAGGAGGAGGAGGAGGAGGAGGAGGAGGAGGAGGAGGAGGAGGGGGAGGAGGGGGAGGAGGAGGAGGAGGAGGAGGAGGAGGAGGAGGACGAGGAGGTTCTCGGGCCGGGGGATTGACGTTTTTTTGACGAGTGAAACGCTCTTTCATTCTTAAACTCTGATTGTTCTTTGTAATTTTTTTTTCGCCGTGATCTCCTCGCACTTGTCTTTTCTCGTTATATCGTTCTCCAGTGTTCTCTCTCTCTCTCTCTCTCTCTTTCTTTCTCTCTCTCTCTGTCTATCTCTTGCACCAGGCCAATGCATGCCGATGCGATACAAATCCATTCCCAACCAACCAATACCAATGCCAATGGAATGTCAATGTGGGAGTCCTTTCGTCCGTTGGATTTCAATAAGAATACTTTGTGTATGATGTCATTACGAAGCCTTCTTCGGAGGATTTCAATAGCAATGCTTATGTGTAGGGTTTCGATAGGGATCCTCATGTGGAGGGTTTCACTCGGAATCCTTCATATGGGAGGATTCAATCGGAGCCCTTCCTGTGGAGGGTATCAGCAGGAGTCCGTCTGCGGAGGGAGCCACTAGGACTCGCCAACGCAATGCCAAAGCTTTGCCATCGCAATGCCAAACCAATGCCAAGGCGAACCCAAGTCAATGCCAATGCAATGCCAACGGGGGGTATCATTTGCGGTAGGTTCCAAAAGGAATCCCACCTTTGGAAGGTTTCGATCATAATCCTTCCGCGGGGGGGTTCAGTATGAATCTCTTACGTGGGGGACTTTCAAAATGACCCCTTCTTGTGGAAGGTAAGGAATCCTTCTGTGGTGGGAGCCACTCGAACTCGCCAGCGCAACGCAAAAGCAGTGCCAACGCAATGCCAAGCCAATGCCAATGCAATGCCAATGGGGGAATTGTTTGTGGTAGATTTTAATAGCAATCCTTCTAATAACCCTTCTTCGGAGGATTTCAATTAGAAGCCTTCTATGGAGGGCTTCGCATGGAACCCTTCTGTTGAGGCATCCTTTTGTGGGGATTCAATAGGCATCCTTTTTGTGAGGCCTTTCATGGAATCCTTCCGGGGTGGGATTCAGTAGGCGTCCTTTTTCTGGGGGTGTTCAGTAGGAATCCTTCTGTGAAGCGTTTGAGTAGGACTCGCAAGCGCAATGTCAACGCAATGCCAACGCTGTTTTAACGCACTGCCATCGCAATGCCAACGTAATGCCAATGCGATGCCAAACCGTTGCCAAATCAATGCCAATGCAATGCCGATGGAAGGACTCCTGTCTTCCAGCAGATTTCACTAGGAATCCTTATGTGGATGATTTGGTTACGAATATTTCTTCGGAGGGTTTCGATAGGAATCTTCCATTTGAAGGTTTGGATTGGAATCTTTCTGCGGAGGGTTTCACTATGATTCCTTCATGTGGGGACTTTCAAACGGACCCCTTCTTGTGCAAGGTTTTCATACGAATTCTTCTGTGGAGTGGAGCCAATAGAACTCGCCAGCGCAATGCCAACGCAATGCCAAACCAATGCCAAAGCGATCCCAATTCAATGCAAATGCAATGCCAATGGGGGAAATCGTTTGTGGTCGGGTTCAAGAAGAATCCTTTTATGGAAGGCTTCGAATGGAATCCTTCCGTGAGGGAGTTCAATGTGAACCCTTCTTGTGGTATGTTTCAGTCGGAATCCTTCTTGCGGGGGGTTCAACAGAAACCATTATGCGAAGGGAGGTGCTTGAACTTGCCAGCGCAATGCCAACGCAGTGCAAACGCAATGCCGCACCAATGCCAATGCGATCCCAGCCTAATGCCAATGCACTGCCAATAGGGGAATATTTGGTGGTAGATTTCACTAGGAATCCTTTTGTGGATTGCTTCGCATGGAATCCTTCAGTGGATGGTGTCAATAGGAACCGTTGTTGCGGAGGGTTTCAATCGGAGTCCTTTTTGTAGAAGGTTTCGATCGGAGTCCTTCTGTGGAGGGTTTGAGTAGGACTCGCACGCGCAATGTCAACGCAATGCCAACGCATGGTTAACGCACTGCCATCTCAATGCCAACGGAATGCCAATACGATGCCAAACCATTGCCAAACCAATACCAAGCAATGCTCAATATCAATCCTTCTGCGGGCGATTTCGATTCGGAATCCATCTGTAGAGGATTTCAGTAGTGCGATGGGCCCCGTGGCACGTGAGCCCCGATAGGTGGATGAGAAGGAGGAGTAGGAGGACAAAGGGGAGGAGGAGGAGGAGGAGAGGGAGGAGGAGGAGGACGAGTAGGAGGAGGGACGACGACGACGAGGACGAGGACGCGGCCGAGGAGCGCGTGGAAGGGAATAGGGGGCGGAGGAGGAGGAGGAGGAGGCGGGAGAGGAATTTACTCTGCTCCCCCCCCCCACCACAACAACAAAACGAGGAGGGGCGGGGGTCAACCCAGTTTTTTGAGGTGGCACACCAAAAACGAAACACG